CAGTGGAAGGTAAAGAGCCATCAGAAATGAAAGAGTTAACAGTGTCTTTTTTTTTTTTGCTATTCCTATAAATTGAAATTTTTCATATTTCTGGTCGTATAGTGAGTATTTATCAGTTCTTCTATCATATTCTGTTACTTATCTATACAAGGGATGCAAAACTCTGTCGTACGACATCAAGAAAGATAAAAGTATACAGAAAGTAAATAATAAACGCTTGCTTCTTTTAATCTTTAAATAGATCATTTAAATACTATTTTGAAAATTAAAACAAGAATGGCTGATATTTTGGCTTTCGTATAAAAACATCAAAAAAAGGACAACTCTAAAACTGCAAAAAAWTTTTTTCGTTGTCAATGGAAAATTCTAGAATCGAAAAAGCCGCCGTTAACTTAAAGCTTTGTCTAATCCTATCAGGGAAAAAATCAATAATAGAGACTGTTTTAGATTTACGTTCACAGCAAACGTGAAACGTCAGTTGACCAGTAAAAAATTCTTTTGAATTACTGAAAAAGTAGTAGAAAAACAAAAGAATATTTGCGCTTGGTGAGAAGGTTTGTAAAAGGTAAAGTAAAATACAGGGAAACTATGAAAAGGTGGTTACGTTTGCCGTTTGCGGGGAGAAAAAAAGGGAGTATTCGCTGATGATTGTGCATAGTGCTATCGACGACGTGCTCTATAGCCACTGCGAAAAACAAGGACAGCTTATTAATTAAGGAAACATCCACACAACTGAAAGACGAATGATTTATACTACAATTAGCCAGACAAGTCTGAGTAGTTACATCTTTTCTTGAGTCTCGTTCTGTCAGCTCGTTTTATCAATTAAAGTAAGCCGGAAGCCGGTTATTAGTAAAGGTCACATCCTTAGCGTATTGGGGTTAGTCATTTACTTTTATAGATGAATATTTGTGATGATTTCTAGTTTGTAGATAAGTTGATGGACTTGCTTCTTATATATGCTTACGCTTGCTTGCTTGCTTTTTTGTCTTTCTGTCCGTTTGTCACGCCATTTGTCCGTTTGTATTGTTGTTGATAGATACTTTTTCGCTCAAATGGAAATAGTTACATTCCACGAAGTTGCATGTTATTTACCAAACGGGACTTCTTTCAAATCGACTTATCTCTCCCATATCGATTTTCCCACCACTTAAACATTTATACGGCTCAGTTGACCAAATTCACTTGTCAAAGACGTCTGAGACATAATCGAATGATGTGGTGTCCCGTCTGCTGAGCTTTATGGGAGGCCAGTGCAGTGTTGGATAATTCTTCAAGAGAAAAGAAAAGGAGAAAATGAGATTAGGAAAGGGCAGCAAATGAAAGGAAAAGAGAGGAAATTAGAAAACTATAGAAAACAAAATGGAAAAGGACGAAACAACGTTTTTAATATATAATATCAAGATGAAAGGAAAGGAATTTGTTTAGAAACATCATTTTATCGATCTGTTAACTTTCCACAATATTCTAATTCTTAATTGAACCAAGTAATCCAATGACATCGGTCCTGACACGACCTGTGTTGCTCGGTGCAATAAACTTTCAGTTTTTTCAATTAGCGAAAAGATCTTCAATATTGAATCATCGCCAAAGATCGGAACACGTAATAAATCACAATTACTACATTTTTTATAAAGTGACTCAAACGTTTATCAAACAAGACGTTAGGCTTTAAATCTCTCCTCTGACACGACCTGTAATGATAAAAGGGTAAATTATACACCGTGAAAAGATGAAAAAACTTACTGACGTTTCGGACGCTAGTCCTTCGTTTTCATCTTTTCACGGTGTATAATTTACCCTTTTATCATTACTCTTTCATTAGAAACACCGACGCAGCTCACACTAGTTTAATATCTTTTCTTGACATGACCTGTGTTGCTCGGTGCAATAAACTTTCAGTTTTTTCAATTAGCGAAAAGATCTTCAATATTGAATCATCGCCAAAGATCGGAACACGTAATAAATCACAATTACTACATTTTTTAAAAAGTGACTCAAACGTTTATTAAACAAGACGTTAGGCTTTAAATCTCTCCTCTGACACGACCTGTAATGATAAAAGGGTAAATTATACACCGTGAAAAGATGAAAAAAACTTACTGACGTTTCGGACGCTGGTCCTTCGTTTTCATCTTTTCACGGTGTATAATTTACCCTTTTATCATTACTCTTTCATTAGAAACACCGACGCAGCTCACACTAGTTTAATATATTTTCTTAACACGACCTGTGTTGCTCGGTGCAATAAACTTTCAGTTTTTTCAATTAGCGAAAAGATCTTCAATATTGAATCATCGCCAAAGTTCAGAGTTGGCTTTTAGTAAGTCTCTCTCCACGGCTCTTGGTTGCGAGTTATTTATAAGTTATTGAGGTTGAGGTTGAGGTATCAATAGTTGATTCATATCTCGTAACAAACAAAGATAAAGACTTCCTATCGAGAGGACATGGCTTTTCAAGTCTTATCTGTATAAAGTTGTCCGCCCTTTGTTAGCAAAGAGGCAAATTCACCTTCTCGGCGCTAGCCAACACGTGTTATAGATGGTATTAGATTGTGCTACGATCATCACAAAGTTTGAACATTCTCCTACGAATTCGGTTTATTCAAATTTAGACAAATCTAACTTTGAACTTTGACCAAATATTACTTTTCAAAAACAAAGATCTCGAGTTTCTCCCAAGAGGTTTACCAGCTCAATATCGCAGCTGAACCTGACATTCCTGACATTTCTATCATATTTGGCGTAACATGGAATCATCTTGGGCGGTTTGTGATAACTTGACCCTCTTCTTCAGTTGTTGGCACTCGAATACCTTTTAACTTAATATTTGTGGCTCGAGATCGCTCATTCTTACGCCCATGATTAATTAATAACGACTTAGCAACAGTTGATGTCTCGACTAATAGAACCCCTAGCAGGACTTAGCGAGACTTAGCGAGACTCAGACTAACTAATCCGGTCTCTATACCCATTTAATTTAGTTTCGATTTCGTAAAAAAAATCTATCTTGGATCGCAAGGCATTATGGGATGTCCAGGCGGCAAAAAAACTTTTTTCAGTAATGACGTCGATGGATACTAACAACTCATCACGAATACATTAGATCCATAAAAATAAAAAAAAGACAAACACACGAAACTCTATATTATTTAATTTTACGTCAGCTTTGTTTTGTTTTGCCTCCTGGCAAGATGGCCGCCGTGTCGTCGAAGAAGTCCATTCTTGTGGTGCAATGCTTTCGAATAAGCTTTGAAGCAAGATGACGTTTTACCCCCGTCTCTAGACCATAATCCTTTTCACACTGCTTTTGTTCTTTAATTATGACTATTGTTCCTGTATTCTCTAAGGAATCAAAAATTTTAATATGAAAGAATTTAAAAAACTATTATGGTCTAGAGTCGGGGGTAAAACGTCATCTCGCTTCAGGCTTATTCCACATGTCATTTTCTAGATAATGGATTCCTTGTTTGAGCTGTAACCATATATATTCATGCGGTCTTCATGCACAACTGTTAAAGTGCCTATACCACTTAACTTAATATTTTCAGTATTGATTCTACATAAAGTGAATATTTGAATGAATGAGAAAAGAATTTCACATGATTTGAGTGATGCATCTTGAATATATCGAGATTTATACTTCCAACATGCTAATGAGTGTGATGCCATCATAGGAATTTGAGTTTGCTTCTCATCGYTTTTAAATTGCAACACTGATTACTATGAGAAAACAAATTTGATTTTAATTTTCTATAAACCATGAGTAAGACAATGATGTTATATACAGAATATCCTGCTGCCCCAGAAAAGTTTTGTATATTTAATCATGCCTATAATGACATCACACTCATTAGCATATTGGAAATATAAACCTTGATATCTCCAAGATACATAGCTCGAATCATATGAAATTCTTTTCTCATTCAAATATTCACTTTATGTAGGATCAATACCTGAAAATTTTGAGTTAGGCGCATGGTACAGGCACTTTAAACAAAGAAATAATACTCTAGGGAATGACACGTGGTCTGAAAATGGGAAAACATTGCATCCCTAGGAATAAGGTCAATATCTGATGTATCGAGTAGTGAAAGTAGGCGGATACAAATCAAGTCCAAGGTCCATGAATATATGCTAATCGTTCTGGATTTTTTTAAACGACAAAGATAATATCTGGGCGCGGTGTGTTTCTGAATAGTTCTAGAAAGATTGCAAGGCATTTGCCCCAGTTAGCCCCCCGGGTACGGTAAGATAAACTGCGATGAGCATTGTCTAGTGCCGCCTTCCCTTGCGGGTATTTCATGTTCGGAAATCTCGCTCATTGTATTGACGGAAAAGATCTTTAAAGAGAGCTCAAAGGTCGTTAGGCTCAGTTCAAACGTCGAACTTCACATGAGCTGAACATAGGGTTCTTATTTGATGTAACTATGCTCGGCGTTTGACATGAGCTTACGGTTTCATGATCATCTGTAAGTAGAGCTGCTTATGTTAAGTTGGTTCTCCGAGTCCTCTGGTTTTCCTCCCCTCGTAAATACCAACACTTTTTTAACATCGAGTTGTGACGTACGTCCAACTGCTCACAAAAACTTCTAAAGCAAAGCGAAATATATTCTGAATAAGTTAACCTTCACTTTAAAAAATCAGAACTTTAGACACACACTTCTCCTGTTGAAAAAAAAGTAAAAGAAAAAGTCAGTTATAGAACAGCTTTTTGTTTTGGACCCAGAAGTGAGATATTTTGAGATATTTTGTTGTAAAGAAGTGAAAGAAGTTTTCTTGGTATTTTTCCCATCAAAACATTGGAATAACGTCATCAAGATGAGAGCGCCCGCACTTACTTATTCGTAGAAAGGCTGCGCGCGAATGTCCTTAAGGGCGAGCATTCTAAAAATTAAAATGGACCCAATAATTTTATCACTGATGATATATGAAAAAATGTATTGAATATCTATTATTTTTATTAATATTTGATTGAACATTTTTTCTCATTTCTGTTAGTATGTTAGCAAACAGTACAAGTCGGCCAAGTCACTACTGTTTACGGGGTCCACCGGGTTTGCAAGGCCTCCCGGGTAGAGACGGGTTACCGGGAAATACGGGACCCCCTGGAGCAGAAGGAAGGATTGGACCACCAGGGAGAGACGGTCAGTAACGTGTCATGTACATATGGGGTTCACCGCGGTTTTGAAGTCTACCAGGTGTACCGGGTCTCCTGGGTAAGGATGGGATACCGGGGAATACAAGACCCCCTGGAAGGGAAGGTTCGGGCTACCGAGGAGAGACAGTCAGTAATGTGCCATGTACAAACGGAATTAACTAGGTATTCGGGATTTACCGTTTTTAAATATTTTTTTAAACAGCTTTATTGGCATTCAAATTTCACAATGAACAGAATAAATAACATACATACTAAAGAAATAGTAATTATAATACAAGAACGGCGCCTAGAGTCCCATGCGAGGCACCTCCCATCCTTCGGGATTTACCGGGTATTCGGGGTCCACCTTGTGTACCGAATCTCCTTGGTAAGGATGGGATAGCGGGAATACAAGGCCCCTTGGAAGAGAAGGATTTGACCATGAGAGAGACGGTGTCATGTACATACGGGTTTCACCGGGTATTCGGGGTCCACCGGATATACCGGGTCTCCTTGGCAAGGATGGGATACCGAGGAATACAAGACCCCCTGGAAGGGAAGGAAGGATCGGGCTACCAAGGAGAGACGGTCAGTAATGTGCCATGTACATACGCGATAAACCGGGTATTCGGGATTTACCGGGTATTCGGGTTCACCGTGTGTACCGAGTCTCCTTGGTATGGGATACCGGGAATACAATGCCCCCTGGAAGAGAAGGAAGGATTTGACCACAAGAGAGAGACGGTCAGTAACGTGTCATGTACATACGGGGTTCACTGCGGTTTTGAAGTCTACCGGGTGTACCGGGTCTCCTGGGTAAGGATGGGATACCGGGAATACAATGTCCACTGGAAGGGAAGGAAGGATTTGACCACAAGAGAGAGACGGTCAGTAACGTGTCATGTACATACGGAATTCACCGGATATTCACGGTCCACGGGGTGTACCGGACCTTTTTGGTAAGGATGGGATACCGGGAATACAATGTCCACTGGAAGAGAAGGGAGGATTTGATCACAAGAGAGAGACGGTCAGTAATGTGTCATGTACATATGGGTTCACCGGGTATTCGGGGAACACCCTGAGGTACCGGGTCTCCTGGGTAATGATAGGATACCGGAGATGGGGCTCACTGGGTTTTTGAGGCCTACCGGGTGTACCGGGTGTACCGGGTCTCCCATATCTAAAGCCAGGCTAGTGAGGAGCTAACTGGACCCTCGCGGGAGGTCCTGTGAGATTATTATCGTGTATTGGGTATTACTGCTGACCAAATGCTCGTATTTACCAGGTAGACCTGGCGCTAATGGTCGTGATGGAGTAGCAGGCAGAGATGGGATGCCAGGAAGAGACGGTGTGCAAGGGGTGCCGGGTAGGTACGTCTTTCATTAGATTTGTAATTTATTTATAAGAGTGTTCCAGTACATAGAATGTAGAAGTTTTTATTTGCACCATCACGTGACGGCAGCCATTTTAAATGGTAGGAAGGCAATCGTTTTATGTAAGAAAGAATCCAATTCCCAGGAGCAATGGAGCTTTATTGTTTTGTCATCTAACCGCAGGCAACCCAAGCTGTATAATGCGCGTGGGCACTTGATGATGCAAAACCTCTATAGAAGAATAATTCAAATTCTTATCCATTCTTAGTTTGGACGTTACGTCATCGCGGCCAAGCCAGTGGTATTTTTAAGAAAAAGAATCCTCGAAAAAGAATAGCTTCTTTTGTTTAATATCAACAACATGGCACGCGATAACATAAGCTCCTCTTTCTAAGGTCGCTCATAATAAAATGTAGAATTAGAAAAGAAAAAAAAAAAAGGAATGAAATTGCTTCGTGTGCACCAAGCAAGGTTCTGCTGAGGATGGAATCCACGACCTGCTCTCCCACCTCCCCCTCACCTCCCCTCCCCTCTCACCTCCCACCTCTCCTCTCATCTCCCCTCTCACCTCCCCTCCCACCTCACCTCTCACCTCCCCTCCCACCACCCTTCCCACCTCCCCGTACTCTAGTAGGCAAACTAGTGGTGCGGTGGTTACTACAACTAGTGGTGCGGTGGTTACTACACTGGGACAATTTTCATTATTTATACAAAACATCATAGGGTTACTATAGCTCTGTCTTTTTCGTTAAGGCA